GCAGCCTTGTCCTTGGACCAGGTAGCACCGTGAGCTCCCTCGTCGATGTCCGTTCTTCTGCCGGCGTCTACCCCACCACCCGTTTGCTCCGGTGGTGGTGGGATCGACGTGGACGGAACAGTTGCCGCCGAAGTCTTCTTCTTCGGTGGCATGTCGATGAAGAAAATGAAGATCTATCTCATGTGAACGCCGGATCAGGTTCACACAACCTCGACGCCCCTACCTGGCGCGCCAAAGATGTCGGGGAAACCGATCCACAAACACCTATGGGACCGCGGACCGAGCCCCTTTCGGTTCGGCGGGGGGCGGAGATCGCACGAAGAGCGGATCGAGGCGAATCACACGAGCAGTTTACCCAGCTTCGGAGCTCATAACACTCCTACTGCTGCATGTCTGAGTGTATTGAGTTCTTGCTCGGGAGCGCTGAGTGCTACAGTACACACTAGCTGCTAACGAGACCGAGCGTGAGTGTTTTTCTGCCTTCAAACCTTCCGAACCGAACCCCCACCTTCCTCCATGTTGCGCATGGGCCTTCTTTTATATGCTCAAGGGGTCACCGACAGCTGGCAACGCAGACAAGGGTAAAAATGGAAAAGTGTTGCGGTTGGTACAACTACCTGTACAGTGTATCCTACCTAACCCTGACGGTAGGGGACAAAGGCATTAAATGCCCGTCTGCGTCGCCCAAATAGTGCAGAAAGGGACCGTCAGGGACGCCACCACTCGCCATGATGGCAATCTTGTCAGCGTCGCTTGCCACCGCGCACCGCTGGCTGCACAGCCTCTTGCCACGCGCGCCTGGAAAGGCGCCAGGGCGACACGTTGGTGGATGTGCTGGAGCGTGGGTACAGAGTGGTAGCTTGCCGCGGCAAGCGCCTTGCCACGGTCGTTGTCTTGTCGCGTCCGGAAGCTTGTCGCTCACCGGGCCTCGCTGGGATGCGTGGCGCATTGCGGCAAGTTTCTTGAGATGCCTTGGTTGGCCTTTCCGGCAAGCTCCTCTTGCCGGGGCCTTGTCTCCTTGGCTTGAATACTTTGTTCTTGAATGGCTCCAAAGGAACCACGGAGGACCTTGGCGGTCGCCCGGCAAGCCTTGCCGCGGGGTGCTGCAACTGCCCGTGCACAAGTTCGGGATACTAGGGTACCCCTACTCTAGTACACCGACACTGGTTGTCCATAGTGTTCTTCATCAATTACATATCAATATGTATAAGCTTAATCTACTTCGATGAGCAATTTCCTTATGTTTCTTTTATCATGCTCATTAATATTGGCGCAAAATCATTTATTATGCATTAAATAAGGATTCATTAAGCAAAAATAAAAATTTATTAATATTTGTGCAAAATCATTCATTAAGCATTCTATTACATTTCTTTTATGTCATTAAACCATATGATATTTATTTGGGAAAATTTGGTTTCTGCCATGGTAGGTTTTGCTAATTTCCTTACGCCACTCTAAAATTTGACATTTCACTTTTGCTACACTTAGATTTAGACAATACATCACAATTGTCATTGTATGGCAAAAGCAAAAACAATTAGAGTTGCAATTGTGATACATTGTTAAAAGCTAAGAGTGGCAAAAGTGAAACGATTACTTTTTTTTTGCTCTAGCCACGAAATGGCAACTGGGATACATTGTCGAAATCTAAGAGTGGCAAGAATGAAATATCAAATTTTAGAGTGACATAAGGAAACTGTCAAAATCTAGAGTGGCAAAAACAGAATTTTCCCTATTTATTTCTATAAGATGTAAATCTTTCTCTAGTATGTGTCAGGCTAAACCATACAAAATTAATCGAATATTGCGCAAATATTTATTTAATGCGCACACAATATTGCGCAAGTATTTCTCTAGTATTGTAATTAATGCCATATATTTTGTGCGTATTAAATAAATATGCAATATTTTGTGTGCATTGAATAAAGATTTGCACATTACTTAGTTAATTTTGTATGGTTTAGCTTGACACGTACTAGAAAGACACACATATATGGTCTATATATGGTTCTGGTTGCCCATAGTGATCTTCATCTATTACATATCAAAATATGTATAGGTTTAATCCACTTCGACGAGCAATTGCCTTATGTTTCTTTTATCATGCTCTTCAAGCTAAAGGTGTTCGGTTCTTCCCTACCATTGAAGAGGTAATCTGACTATATATTGTGATAGTACAATATTGTATATAAATATTACACGTGAGTGAGATAGATTAATGGGTTGTTTTCCCCGACCATTCTTTTTTGAGGAATTCCCCACCATTCTTGGTCTTTTGATGTACTTAGTTATTTTTCATTTCAAAAGACATCATGGTTCAGAACAACCATGCATAACAAGATGGACCTATAAGTTAAGAATACTAAACAATTACGTGATAGGACAACCACAAACACATATATATGTTGGAGGGACTAGAGACATTGCCGGATAGTATATACACTCCTCCTATAATAGTTGGATGCCAACAAAATCATGGGAGTGAAATTAGAAACAAACTATGTTGGAGTATAATTTCAAAGTTTTTAGCATATCTATTCATCTACTATTGCTATGACTACAATGTTTAGCTATAAAATAAACATTAGCTTTAGTTTCTTGATTCTACAAAAGATACTTCGTATAAAATTTTCCCTTCTTAACATACATTTACATTTTTACTTGAAGGAAAATGATTCACTGGCCAAAGATTTTGTCCATGGTCCAGCCAAACAAATTCTCAAAAGTTTGAAGTCAAACTCCACTTAAGCAGTAACTTCAGGGCAAGGTTCCAGTTCATGGGATGATCCCTATGTGAGTTACACTTTCTATCTTCACTCAATTTACTTAAGTATCTTATCCAAGATTATCAAATACACTTTTTAGGTGCAATGACACAATATATAGTAATTTAAATCTGGAATAAGTAACATGGCATGTCATTTTCAGTAATATAAGATTTATTATGGAATTCGGTTGTTGGAAAGCATACTTACATGTATGTAGTCACATATAACTTAGTATGATGTTGCATTGTAGCTATTTTGACATGTTCACAAATATGAATGCAAGATGATGTAAACAACTACAACACTAATTGCTGACCTATTATGTTTTGGCAAATGTCATGATATTATGTCGATAGGCACAATTATGAGTATTCACATGTACTAGGTAATCGTTTATTTTAGAATTCACCTAATAAAAGTAAACAGACACACCCACCAAGCCAAATAGATACTATGAAATAATATGTTCGTAATATGATGCTAACCTACCTGCCATCAAAGTGAGATAAATGCTATTTTAGTCTGAGGTAGCCTTCATAACTATCCTATTTATCTTTACCAATTTAATAAATTAAGGAAATATTTCTGCTATATGAATCTATTTTTGTACTTATTTTTATCAACACACGAGGAGCACGTGTTTGAGCTTCCCCAATGCATATTGGTAGTAATGTTTTATATAGAAATCATGTTATTTTGGAAAACTAAAAGAATGATTTGAACATTAGCATGGATGGATTTTGATAGTTCCTTTCTTTCAATTTGTACAATATATTTATTATGCTAACTTTGAGATATGTAGTGAAATTTATGCACTTTTTAAACTGTAAAATATTGGAAGCAAAAATACACCTTGTTAAAAGTTTGATGAGATTGTTTTTGACTATTTAGTACCCCAACAATTGTTAGTTGACCGTTTCGCCATCAAAATTGATTGTTCTTTATGTTCTTTGCACAATTATTATGTTAACTTCGAGGTATTTTTTGAGATTTATATACATTTTAAACCATAACTATTTTGAAGAAAATACTCCCCAGTGAAAATTTGATGCCACTGCTTTTGGCTAGTTATGTCCCATGGAAATTGTTAGTTACGTCACTTGGTTGCTTCCATCTTGCAGTTTGTGGCACATCTAACACATTCTAGAGGTCCTAATGACAACTACTATGGCTTACATGCCACCATGGATGTGTATGGCCACGAACTAAAACATGGCCAGTGGAGTTTGACTACTTTTTGGATTAATCATGCAGGACATGGTAATAAATCAAGATATAATGCGATCAAGTTGGCTGGCATGTAAGCATTATTATTCTTCCCATGCACATAGCCTCTCAATTTAATAATAAATTGGTCATTAGTTTATTCCTTCAACTATGATATTATAATATTCAAGTAACATAAATACATCTTGTCGACTTGCCAAAATTCCTAAACATCCTTGGGATCAAATTAAATGTGCATCATAAAAAAATACTTAATCATATTTATTTGCGGGCTAAGGCTATGCCCCTTGAAAACTAGGAAACTTGTGCCATTTTTCTCTGACGTGTTATATAACAGTTAAAAACAAAGTTGGACATGTGCAAAGTTACCATAGACTCAAAATTATTTTGGTTCAAGTGAGCTCATTTCCTTCTTCTCCAAATTCATATTTTAAGTATAAAATTCTTCAATTTCTGACCACATGTATGTGTAGATGTTAACTTGCTGCCAAATTCCATCAACAAAGCATTTCATCCATATGTTTATCCTTTGCGTGTAGCTCATAAACAGCAAGTTTATGGACAAAATTTTACAGATACTCTAGGCACATCTACATGTGGAACTATTTCAAAATTTTATGAAAATTTAAATATGAATTTTAAATTTTGTAAATTGTGGGATCACAACATTCATAAACCGTGGCTTGCCATCATGTAAATGGCGAACCAATTCATTTGTTCTCCATTTGTTGGAAACTCCCCTTCTTGACCTTTAAGTGTGAGGCAATGTTTATCTTATGTGTACCCTTTATTGAACAGATTAATCCAGATCACTATGGCGACTCACATCCTCACTTCTACACCCGTTGGACGGTATTGTGATAATTATGCTTTGAAAATTACTCCTTCCCACAGTAAAAGTGATCTTACTCTGATAAAAACATGCATAGAAAGTTTCTAACCCACACACAAAAACAATCTATGCAACAGAGAGATAATTATGATGCAACAGGCTGCTACAACATGGACTGCCCTGGTTACATACGGGTAGATGGCGCTGTTATAGCTCCTGGTGATGCTATACATCCAGTTTCTAATGTCCCTAATGGACCTAGACAAAGTATCACTCTAAGGGTGCTAAAGGTATGTGTTTCATCCTTTTTGTATGCATTTTCATAGCCATGTTATTCCACTTATGAAAATCTAACTACGTGGTCGATAAAGGTGTATCATTTTTACAACCTAATAATTGGTGGATCGTAACATATATCAAAGGTATAAATTAAATGTGAAGGGCTTTAGTCTAAATCCTAATCAATTTCAGGACAAAAGAAGTGGAGATTGGTGGGTATATTACGGCTTCAATAAAATCCCGACAGGCGTGGGATACTTCCCAAGGTCGTTATTCAGCTACTTAGCAGAAAAGGCAGACGGAATGCAATTTGGTGCATTTGTTAAATCTCAAAAAGCACTTCCAACTCCTCCAATGGGCAATGGTGCCCTCCCAAATGGTGGTAAGGGTCACGCCGCATTATTCACAGACATTAGATTCATTGACCAGGATGGAAATAGCAGCCCAATCAAGGAAGACCTACCCATGTTTGTTACTGATAAAAAATGCCACTCTATCACCCATATTGTTCATGCTGAATGCTTTTATGGTGGTCCTGGAGGTTGTATGAGATAAGATCTGATACTTTGAGCTTGGTATCACCTAGTGTTAGTTGTCAAATAAAATGGCATGGATGACAAAAATTATGAAGAGAATATTCGCTTGTTTACCTAAAGCTACACTATGAAAACCTTTACTTGCAACAAACATGCATCCCTCGTACTTAAATTGACCTAACCATCCAAGGAGTTATATCGAATAGTTGTATGTTTAGATGTGAGGAAACATAATAATTTTGTTGGTCTGATCTTCTCTTGTGGGATGGTAACGAGAAGGTATATGCACCCCAGGAACGCAAGCAGTCATTGTTCTTATCATTTTTGATCTAGGTTCGCCAGGCCTCTTGTTTGTAAAATAAACTCTTTTCTCCTGAAATGAATTGGCAGTACACATGCTATATTTTATAAAAACATTACTCTTAGGTGCCACGAAGCAACACCTGGTCGGTGCAAGGCGGTAAAATGAAGAAACTTGGCAATGATGGTAGCAAAAGGAGGGCCTACAACACATTAAGTTTTCTATCTCTGCTGTTTGCAACCATATCAGCACACCGTTGCTGAAGTTCTCACAAATGCTCGTTGGATCCCTGGCATGAGAAGCCCCTCAACATTAAAAAATTGTTCAGTTCCTTGACCTTTAGGAGGTTATTCAAAAGATTTAGCTTGATCCTAATTCCAGCAATACATGGTCGTGGTCTTAGGATTCCTCCCGGAGTTTCTATACCATATTAATAGATGTATAGATCGTTTTTTGCGAATTCAACACTAACTCTCTATCATTATTTGCAAGAAAAACTCTCTTTGTCATTGATGCACACGCCATCCATGCACTAAAAGTTTCAGACGCCATCTTCGTGTCACGCCGCGTAGCTGTTGGCACATGTTTGTTTTCTACGGAGTACATGTCAGTTCAGTTATTACTCCATTATCACCATCAAATGAGTCCAAATAGCTATGGGCATATGTATCACTGCCATTGTCATCACCATCTATGGCAGAAAGCGACTGAACTTGTCTGACCCAGATTTCCTGACATTTCTCTTTAGTTTGTTGCTGAAGCTACTGAAAAGACATCCATTGTCCACATGCAAACTTACTTAATGGAATTCCATCAACCGTAATTCCTGATGCTGCTTGCTCACTTGAAAGCTTCCTCACCACGCAATATGATGCCACCTTGCTAATTTATCAGTTTGCTCGTCTGGAACACCGAATTTAGGAAGCAAGTATTCACAACAATAATTATCAATGCAAGCATTAGTGAACACGGTATATATATGCCAAGGACACCATCTCCATCAGTGCATCGACAAAGAAACCCAAGAGGAAGACCATGCCCAACCCGAGTCAAGGGCAACGAATGGAGCAAGTGAAAAGTACGAGTGTGTGAGCCCAGCTGGGGGAGGATAACTTCTGTAACCAAAGAAGCCATAGGCATCGCGGCATCAAAGTAGACTTATCTAAAAAATGCATCAAAGTAGACAGGCAACTGGAGGCTCTTTTGGTCTTGGCGGCTGCTACAAACCACCGGACTGATTTTTCTTGAAAACTGTTGGATTTGGTCAACGCAAGCCATGTCTTTCTCCGCATCGCATCAGGACGCCCGCTTCGATCTCCTCTGGCCATAGCAATGTCCGCGGCCTGCACATGATGCCCATCAGCAACGGAAGCATCGTCGCTGCAAGCATCAGGCTGTCGCCGCCGAGCTTTGCACTGCAGCACCAGGCCGGGGCCGACGACGTAGCTTCATTGCAGGGGCTGCCGACGAGCACTGCATCCCAGCACCGGAAGCCGCCCGCGAAGCTGCATTGAAGCACCAAGGTTTCATGGAAGCTCTGGGTCACCGGCGAGCACTTCATCACCGCACCGCGAGCCACCAGCGAAGCTCCATTGCAGCACCGAGGTTGCATCGCAGCTCCGGGCTAGCGGTAAGCGCTGCATCATAGCACCGAGAGCCCTCGGCGAGCGCTCCATTGCAGCGCTGCCGCGTGACCCTCCGCCCCTTGCAGCACCTCCGCACGACCCCATTGCAACGCAGGTGATCCCATTGCACCAACGTCCATGGGCGGGCTTGCAGTGGCCGTCGCCTCCTCGCTGGCCATTGCAGCACATGGGTAGAGTCCCTCTCCCCAAGGTTGTCACACTGCAACGTCGGTGACGGGTGATAATTCTCAAGTGCAAGGAATCATCATAGCTATTTTCAAAGGTGGAAGTGATAAGTATGAAGTGTTGAACCCACAAGGAGCTAAAGGTAAGAAGAATATTCTCTCAAGTCCTATCTGCCACTGGTACAACTCTATGTACACCAAACATTTGCTTCCATCGAGAAATAAAACTAGGTTGTGGGTAGGATAGCTTTGCATGATATCGGAGAACTAAAATATAAAAATAGGTGCTGTTATCATAAAGTTAGAATATATCACAATATATTACAAATAGTGAGTGTGAAATAATGATGGATTGGTGCGCGGAATTATTCTAGACAATTGTTAACAAGATCAGTAATCATTATTGCAATTTTATATGAGGGAGAGGCATAAGCTAACATACTTTCTCTATTTGGATTATATGCACTTATGATTGGAACTCTAGCAAGCATCCGCAACTACTAAAGATCATTAAGGAAAACCCAACCATAGCATTAAAGCAGGTCCTCTTTACTCTCATATGCAATAACCCCGTTACTTGGGTTTAAACTTCTGTCACTCTAGCAACCCACTATAAGCGAATCATGAACGTATTGCAACACCCTACAGTGGTAATCCTTCATGTGTGTGCGGAATGGTAGGCACCATAGGATAACACCAATATAAACCATACAAATCAAATCAATCTAGATAATCAATCAACACAAAATACAAAATAAATCTACTCAAAACAACATAGGATGTCAACACATCATTGGATCATAATATGTGGCATAAAGCACCATGTTCAAGTAGGGGATTATAGCAGGATGCAAAACAGTGGACCGCTGAAAAGAGGTGAGGAAGTTGATGAAGATGGTGATTCTAGGATCGAAAGTATGTCTAGAGGGGGGGATTAGACTACTTGACCAAATAAAAATCTAACATTTTCCCAATTTTAGTTGTGGGCAGATTTTAGCAATTAGCACAAGTCAAGAAATCAACCTACATATGCAATTCTAAGAGTGTAGCAGCGGAAAGTAGAACATTGCATATGAAGGTAAAGGGAAGGGTTCAGAGAATGCAAACCACAATGGAGACGCGGAGATTTCTGGCGTGGTTCCAATAGGTGGTGCTATCGTACGTCCATGTTGATGGAGACTTCAATCCACGAAGTGTAACAGTTGCGCGAGTCCACGGAGGGCTCCACCCACGAAGGGTCCACGAAGAAGCAACCTTGTCTATCCCACCATGCCCATCGTCCATGAAGTACTTCCCTCACTTAGTTAGATCTTCATGAATTAGGCGATTTCCTTGCCCTTACAAACTTCTTGGTTCAACTCCACAACTTCACGGAGGCTCCCAAGCTACACCTAACCAATCTAGGAGACACCACTCTCCAAAAGGTAATAGATGTTGTGTTGATGATGAACTCATTGTTCTTGTGCTTCAAATGATAGTCTCCCCAACACTCAACTCTCTCTCACATATTTGGATATGGTGGAAAAATGATTTGAGTGGAAAGCAACTTGGGGAAGGCTAGAAATCAAGAATCTTGTGGTAGGATTGGAATATCTTGATCTCAACACATGAGTAGGTGGTTCTCTCTCAAAAAATGTATGATGCAAGTGTAGGCACGTTCTAATGGCTCTCTCACAAATGGAGAAGGGGTTTGAGGGGTATATATAGCCGCCACACAAAATCCAACCGTTACACACATTTGACCCAACTCGGTCAGACCAAATAGATAAACTCGGTGAGACCGATTAGTTCAAAATGTGAACGTTAGGAATTTCGGCAGGACCGACTGGAACAACTCGGTGGGACCTATGTGCTAGGGCTTAGGGCAAACATCAACTCAGTGGCACCGATTGCATCAACTAGGTGAGACCTAAGTGAAGCAATAAGGCAACAGAGAGAATGTCAAGCCAACTCGGTGAGACCGATTGCATAACTCGGTGAGACCAAAATAAATGCAACAAGTCACAGAGCGTTGGCAAGGCCATCTTGGTGATACCAAGACCTGTATCGGTGAGACCGAACTGTTAGGGTTTCTGGCAGTGACTATGTCATATGAACTCGGTGGTGCCGGGTAGAAAGAATCGGTGGGGCCGAGTTGGACTTTAGGATTTTGACATATTTGGATGGAGAAAGTGGTTGAGGGTATTCGTAGCATTATCACTAAGCATTTGAGCAAGCAAGCCATTAAGCAACACCTCATCCCATTTTAATAGTATTGGCTTTCCTATGGACTCAATGTGATCTTGGATCACTAAAATAGAAATGAAGAGTCTTGAGCTTTTGCCAATATGTGTCCTTAGCATTTTGAGGGGTCCACATCTCTAGTCCATGCCATGCCATTCATTGAACTTCCTGAAATATTAATCTTGAAAGGATATTACTTCAATGAGCTATATGTTGTTATGAATTACCAAAACCACCCGGGATTAGTTGCACTTTCAATATCCCCCTTTTTGGTAATTGATGACAACATATAGATCAAAGTTTCAAAAAATGATAAAATGAATGAAATACATCATCGCTTTGATAAGTGTGTGATAAGCAAGAGCTCCCCCTAAATTTGTGCATTATTTAAAATTTGAGTTCAAATGCAAATGCACAATTGATTAGGATTATGGGTCACTCTTCCATGTCACATACATCTTGGTGGAGCGCACAAAATGATAAGAGTAGAATAACATGCACTCATCACCAAAGATACAAGTGATTGATCAAACACAGACATTCATAGAGATAGACATGCAAGCACACATAAGCATGATATGATCAAACACATGATCATACAAGGTATCTCACGAGCATAACATGCATGTAGCATCAAGTAGCAACAATCAACTAAAGTAGCAAGGCAAATGAAAAATCCAACAAA